CTGAGGCAGGGCCTGCTCTGAGGTTCGGCTGCCATCCATCTCCCTTTGCTCAAGCTGTGCTTTCCCAGCCCTCACGTAGGGAAGGATGTAGGGCTGTACTCCAGAGTACGGCCTGAAGTGTCCCAGGAGTATCAGGGCTGCAGGAGAAGCCCTGGCTGAGCTGGTGCCTCTGACATGATGGGTATGGAGACTCAGCCCTGCCTGCACCTTGACTCCCCTGGCTCTCTGGAGAGCTCAGAAAAGCCGTGTCCCAGCCAGGGACAGTCACCATGGGCAATCAAAGGACACTGAGCCCAGGACAACAGGTGGGATGGTGGCTATGCCATTCCCCTCAGGCCTTGGCTGTTGCTATGACAGCACAGGTGGCATCGGCTTTCTCCTCAGCTTGGTACTTGTCACCTGACATAAAGTTCCTTTAGGATACTTGGCAGGAAGCCAAAAGCATTATTCCTGGTGAGAGGAGCAAGGGGTGCCCATCCCAGGGCCCCATCAGGCTCCTGTCAGTCACAGGGAGCTCCCGGGCAGCAGCTGACCAGGCCTCTGCTCCAGCACTCAGTGCCAGGGGATGGCAGCCTGGAGCCATCGAGGGGACCCTGCTCAGGGCCCTGCTCCACTGCAGGCCAGCAGGGAGATATCCCTCAAACCTCCTGAAACTGCCTGGCCCATCTCGTTGAAACCTGGGTGCTTTAAACCTCCTGTAGCTGTTGGGCTCATCTCGTTGAAACCTAGATGCTGAAACTGCCTGGCCTATCTGTTAGGAGCAAATCACAGCAGAAGGGTTAAAATCCAGCCGGGTGGGCCAGTTTCATGTGTTCTCCAAAGAACAGGTGGGATGGGCCAAAGAACAGCTGGAAATGTTTGGGTCATCAATGCTGGAAGAAAAGATCTTGAGCTGAGAGAAGCAGGTGCTGCTCAGGGCACAGGGCCTCATCTGCACTGGGTACTCTGCCCAGAAAGGGAACCAGGGAGGTGCTTGTGAGTGTGTGGCTAACAAAAGGACATGACACAGTGCCAGTGGCCCTGCCATCTCCACTGCACACCCTGTGGAGCAGCCTAAGGACGACGACTGCAATATTCTCTTGGCAATTGCGATCTGGCTGGACCTTCATAGTGCAGGCACCAGGAGAGGCCTGGGGCTCTGAACACCCTCACTCCTCCTAGGATGAGGTCCAGCTGCCACACATAAGGACTTCCTGGACTCTTAGGCTAGAAGTGACAGAAAAACCTCTTGGCAGCCTAAAGTGCAGATGAACCATTCCCATGGCCTACCTCTATGGAACCGCAAAACAGAGAAATAATCAAGATATTCTTCCCTCTAAAGCAGATTTGAACATGGCACTGTGAAGCCAAGCAAAGGCCATCTGACCTTCATTGTTCAATAAAAAAGAACATCAGAGCTACATTGCAAAGCAGAACTCCTCCTCATCATCTTCTTTGTCTTTCTTTCCTGCCCTGAGGTTTCCCAGGCATATTCCCCTGGGACACGTCAGCAGGACCAGCTTCCCAGGGGAGAGGGCTACTGTGAGAGGTAGGGTCAGTTTCTAACACACACTGCAAACCCAGGCTATTTCTCCCTCAGCTGGTAGAGCAGCATGATAGGAAATGATCAGTGGGGCAGAACAGCAAGTGCTGAGGGCCTGGCATCTAGACTGAAAGGGGTTTTCAGGGCAAAGGATGGACGTCCCAAGAGGTCAATGCCAGTCTGAGGTGAGAGCACATTCAGTGGGCCCCATGATGATACCTGTAATGCAAATCAAACTTGGGGCAACAGGGATTTTCCTCTTTGACACTAATTATTAATGAGGACATTCTCAAAGACTTCCCATGCAATCACTGCTGATTCTACCATGGCAGAATGTGCAGAAACCAGGTGAGGAAGGGCATGGAAGACACCCACCCCCAAAGATGCTGTTTCTGTCCCAAAGGGGACAGTTCCATCTGGGAGTCTCTGTGCAGTTGAGGCTGCAAGCACAGAGGTGCCCTTTTGTTCCAGTGCCCTCCAGTCATCTCCTTCCTCTTGCTGACAGGGATGAGGTCTTTCCTTCTGCCCTAGCATGTGGCAGGGAGTTGCCCACAGCTACAGGAGGGAGGGGCTTTGGAAAGCCAAGAACAGATAATTGCCCTGTTTAGGTGGGTTGCGCTTCATGTTCTTGGCCTGGAGGATCCCTTGTCCTAGGAAGAATCTGTGGCTAGAATGTGACTTTTCCATCATGATAGAGCTACTGAGATGGACACAGGCTGTCCCAGCATGAGTCTGCCAGAGACCTGGGTCTTCAGGGAAAAAAAAACTCTGGCCTAAAATATCCAGAGCTACCATGGAAGGTAAAGAATACATGAGCATCCTGTGCTGTGATTTCTGTTGCCTTTTAAAGCAGGGGTATTTGGTGCCACACTTGGAAACCACATCATGTGACTGCCACAGGAACTGCCCTTTTGACCACACTGTGGCTATCACGACTCCCTGTCCTGAGTACCTCACATGGTTGTGACATTGCAGACTTTGTGAAGGTCCTGAGAGATTTTTGGGACAGGGACGTCCAAACACTTTGGCAGGGTGAAATGGCATCAGAATTAAAAGTAAGTCTGAGAAACTGGAGAAGTTGTCTCAGATCTTCAGAAGGAAATGCAATAAAGAGAAATAAAGTACTTTTGTGATGATTAGTCAAAAAGATTTATGGGTTTTGAATTAGGAAGAAAAGGAAGTGGAGGTTATAACCCTTCAAAAGTTAACTTTGAGGGGAAAAAAGTATATTTTGATATTTTTGAAGATTTCTCGGGAACTTTTTGGTTTGTGTTTGCATGTTATTGTAGAAGACCTAGAACATTTCTGTGGTAGGAAAGAATTCACTGGGTTGGGTTGGTAAATAAGTGAATAAGAAAAACAGCATTTTTATTTTGGATAATACATTTTGAACAATATAAAATTATTAAAATAGCAAGCATAAATTATAAATACCTTGAAAATATAATCTGC